TGTGAAGTTCTTGTAATGTGCATAATGCCTGACTTTATTGCGACCTTGTCTTACTTTGTTGTAGTTTTAATCTCAAAACAGCATCGTATTGTTCCTTCAGTATTCCCATATGATAACGTACTGTAGTTTTTAGGCTATTTTCAGCCGAAAGAAAAATGAATGACAGGGTGAAAACATATTTTTTTTCATTAGGCTGACATCAGGTAAGTTCATAAAAGCAAATAGTGGGGAAGGAGGAGGGGAGTGGGACAGCCTTTAATAATCATCTCAACACTGCCTAGTTTTTGCAGATATTTCACTGTGGTGTGTGTTTCCCCCCTTTAGGAGACATTAAATAAGTGGAGCGACAGTGCTGGCTGCTGCACACCCAGGCTTGTTGTATAATGGGGCTTCACCTCAGCTGAACTTGACGCATCTGGTTTAGCGGCGGCGCAGGACTCGCGGCGCAGCCTGTGAGTCCCTATTGAACCGAGTTGGATGGTTGGCGCGACAGAGAGACTAGAGAAGGGGAAACACAACTCTTTCATGGCCCAGTAGCGACTGTCGGAGACCTTCTCCCGACTGTATCCGAAATGACTACCCTTTATGCTTCTCAGCCTACAAATATTGTGTGTTTTTTTTTAATTTCCTGCTCATTTTGGGATCCAGACAATGAGAAGAGGTGCCACCGTCTAGGAAATATGAAGCCCGCAGACTGAGTTGGACACCCTAGAGGGAGAGACCTTACAACTTGAACTTAAGACCTATCAGGTGCGTAGACTTCATATGTACCATTTTGTCTTTGTTGGGCGATTTTTAGAGGTTTACCTTTGCGTAAATTGCGTAAAAATTACGAGGACGGACTTTTTCAGCGTAAGCATACAGCGCTATATTTCCTCAATACTGGTTCAGTGGATGTTACGACTGAAACGATCACAGTCCTTTTCTGGGGAAGTTTGCAGGCTGTTAAAAACACGCATCTTCGTCATAAGAGCTTAGCAACGTAATATAATTGTCTGTAAATTTGACAACAAGGCCCTAACATCTAATAGTCTTTACGTGAAAATAACATGGTCGCCAAGCTGCAAATTCCCCGTCGCAATACAAGAAAAGAGGTCGCCTTTTCGTGCCCTAGTTTCCCTTCGCAGACAGGCATAATCTCCTCCTTTGTTGTCCCCGATGCAAACAGAGATAGGCAGCCGGGAGCATCACGTTCGTCCAGCGGAAACATTACCGCTGTCCAAGTGAGCGATGATATCACTAAAATGTGCATTTAATTGGAAAAGCGGCGTCTCCCGAGCTGTTCACTACGAGATAGTCACTGTATGGGAGACATGAGGACGTATGTAGAGCTATGCGGTTTCCCCTGATGTGTCACTGTGGTTTCCCTCAGAGAAGTTTTTGATGAAATTAATTCACTGAAATCTGAGAGGAGCTAACTCAGCAGTGGCTGGACGTATTATGATGATCTTGGCTGTTTCACAGGTGTACAGTGAGCTTCTTTGAAATGCTTAAATATGATTTGTAAAAGAGAGACTTAAATTGCTTTGAGAAATTCAGATGAGCTTGCTGCATGATAAGATTTATTTGGCGTTGTATGTCAAATTGGACAATCACAAAAGGAGCTGCGCATTCATCACGTAGGAGATGCACATTTTTGCATTACAGAGTAGAACAAGAAAGTTGTTTTTAGGTTTATATAGACTTATTCTGTAGCCTAAATCCTCTTGTGGCTATAGACTATCTATTGATAACATTTCAAATTTTCCTTAAACAAATCATTTGGGCTATCACCTTGCTTGGAGCAACTAAAGCAAAATGGACCATTGCATTAAATAACTTAGAAAGATTACTGCCTTGCAGTAGGATTACTTTATTTTTTACCGTGTGAAAACGATTTATATTTTGACCACATTTCTTTTGTTATCTGTGCGATTCAGGTGTTGTCTCTTTTTAGTTTAATTGTCTCAGACCGTGCCATAGATATCCTTCATTCCTATGAGATAACTTTTACCCACAGCACCTTATGCACCCCTTAGCTCAGGTCAGACGTTTGCAGTAAAAGTGGCACACACACCAAACATTTATCATTTTATCTTAAGGCTTTGTTTGTTCTTTCAGATCATCTCTGGTATTCTGCACATCTGACCATGTATTTTGCTTTATGTGCATGCATGTGTGTGTGTGTGTGTGTCTCTGCTGTCATAGCTTTGACTATAAGCTGGCTGGGTAAGATTCTGTTCATACTGGAGTGTCAGTCGAAAATGCCGTGCAGCAGTGTTTCCCAAGAAAAGATCTGTGTTGGCTGAGAGAGGCTTGGTGTTGTGCTATTACCACATTCTCTCCAGCTTCATGTCTCTTTTTCTCACCCTTTTACTGGAAAGAGGAACAGAACGGTCAGAAGATGGAATATGAACAGGGTCACAATGACCTTTTGGCTGCAGCTCTCAGTCACAAACAAGCTCTTTTAAGTGATGTATTAATACCCTGATATATTGCATGTTTATAAAGCACAGTCACTGCTATAAACAGGAAAATGCCATTGTGCCTTTGAGAAAATGGAGCAGAAACACAGGTGGCCTTCAGACATTGAACTGGGGCTCATTTCTCCACTGTGAGTCAGTGGGACAGACGAAAGCGCATGGCTGCAGAGTGAAAATTGGCGAGATTATTGTCTGATTTACCCTGCCACCCGGTAGCTCAGAGCACTCTTGTTTTCCATATTGGCAGTGGCCAGTATGGAGAAGAGAAGAGGCTTGGATTCACCCAAATTCTCCGTCATTTGCTTTCAGAACAGCTTCATCCTTCCTCCCACTCTCCCTCCCTCCCACTCTCTCATATCTCACGCAATTGATTGAAACTCTAAACGGCAAGATCAGGCTTAGAACAATCCAGCCTTTCTATGAATAGTTGATTGGATGCAATGGTGATGTGGTGTGTTGTTTCTTTAAGGGCATATCAGGTCAGAGGGTGGGAGGTGGTGGGGTTGTGATACTGCAATGTTGTGCGTTGTGCTGTCCCATCCTGTCCTGACGTAGAGGCGCGCAGAGACTCCTGTCATTCCCTAATCAGGTCATCTGGCATATTGAGAATGTGTGCACGTGGCGCTTTAGTTCCTGCCCATGAGGGGACTTAAAAGGTGTTTTTCCTAGCCTTTTTTTAAAATACACATAATGTTTTTTTAATTGTGTGTGTGTCAGAGCCACCTTGTCATGTTCTAATCTGCACAGATGGATGGTGTATGAACAGTAGGAGCAGTGGGCGTCTGTCACCAATTATTTCAGTTTTTTTTTTTTTTTTTTTGGTATTAATAATGTGGCAAGCCACAAGCTGACAGTAAAGTGTGTAGGTATTGTGTATTTCCAAATGCAAGAAGTGTGTCTGTGCATGCATGTTTGTTACTCTGGTGTCCCCACCAAAGTACTTCATTTTTAAAATCTCTGCACATCTCAGTGCAGAGCATTTATGTGCTTGACCTAATTTCTCTGGCAGTGAAGAATCCACTAGTGAAGGCCTTCCTCTGTGTGTATTTGTGTGTGTGTGTGCACACGCATGTTGCTTTGGGTGTTTCCTTCTTGCCTTTCTAACAGGAAGCTGATGTGGAGTTCAACTGAGGACAGGGAAAAGGCCTTTTCTTTCCACTGTGAATCATTTGAGAGAGAGAGAGAGAGCAAAATGAAAAAAAGAGAGGAGAAAAAAAGACACCAGTCTGCTACACTGATTCAGCTCTCTACAGTGTGGCTTGCTTCTCTGTCCTTCTCTTTTCCCTTCCGCTCCCTTTCTTCCTTGTCTATATGTTTTTGCCTATTTCAGCTTTTATTTCTGGTTCTACTGATGTTGGATAGTCTGGCATTCTGAAGGGAAACAGTGGGTTTATGGAGAGTTCACAAGTCCTGTGAGAAGATGGGGAGGGGGGAGAGAGGAAAGGAGAGACAAAAAGCAAATGAAGCAGGGCTCTGTGGGGAGCAGTGCAGGTTCTTCCGGTTGAGTTTTACCCAGAGCAAAAAGAGGCTGCCTGCATTATGTATTTAGGAGGCAGAAAAGCATAAGATGCCTACAAAAACTAGCTTTATTAAAGCCGCTGGCACTGTGAAGTATTCTGAATCCCTTTGTATTCCTTAAATCTGTGATAACATAGAGAGAACAGGAGCTAAACATAGCTGATAAACCTTTTTGTGTGACAGAGAGATTGCTAAAATATTAAAATCATTTCCTTGTCAGCCACAGCACCAACAAACAAGGATGACTGAAAATGGTTTTATAGACCATCTTGCTGACATTCCCAGCCTGTACTAATTTTCTGGTTGTAAATGTGACAGATTTATTTGGTCAGTGGGTTTAAGTTTCTTATCGGACACCTTTCATGTTGGATGACACTTGTTCCAAGAATCAAATACAGGCCAAGGCAAATGTTAGTGATGTTGAAACATGAATTGTAGATAAGTTCACCTTCAAGACTTTGTGTACAAAGGGGATTTTAATAAATTAAATAAGAGCAGATGTTGGAACCATCTATTCAGCCTCTTTTAAATGTTTGCAAACTCTTGGACTGTTTGAGCTGTATGTCTGCAAGATGGAACCAGAATGTAGTATGACATACTTCTACTGCTGCACACAAATATTCATGAGTAAATGTTGCAAAGAACAATCTGTCAAATCACTCTGGTTTTTAGCAAACTCTGCTGTTCATGGAATAATGCAGTGATGAATAATGCAGCTTTCCTTGGCTTTTTTGTTATATGCTTATAGAACTTTGTATTAATATAGTGGGATGGTTGATTTGCGTGGATAACAACTCCACCTTACACCAGTGCTCCTGAGTCTGATGCAGACCCCCAGCAGCGCCAGAGCTGCAGCTGCTGCTGACTTTGTGCTATGACCTTCGTGAAGGGCAGAAAGGGAAATAGTGAAGCATTTCATTATTTTGCATTCTAAATAGATACATTTTGATGGTAAATGGCTGTTGCATTTTACTTATCTCAAAATAAAGAAAGACATTTTCAAAACTATATTTATACACATACTGTATTCTTTCCTATCCTTCACATCTATGTAATGAACACTAAAACCATGACTGTATAACAGAACAACAGCCCTCAGTTCAGTACCTGGTAAATTCCACCCAAAATGTGTGTGTACCCATATATATATATTTTATAAGTACTTTAATTTTCTTTTTGTTTCCTCGTTGCCTTATGACAGACATTGTACATGCACATTGAGAGCCGCTGTACCAGGGTCAAATTCCTTGTGTGTTCAACACACCTGGCCAGTAAAGCTTGTTCTGATTCTGATACTGATTGTGTTGTTATTGTTTTTTTTTAAGAAAAGCAAAGAACCTCAGTTCAATTAGTCATTATGCTTCATGACAAAAATAAGTGTCCTTGATATTTTGTCCATAAAATATAATAAGCTTGTGTCACTAATAACACTGATAAAAATAATGAAATTAAACAAAACTTAGACTAAATTCCAGCTGGTCCTTCTCCCAACAGCACTGACATGTAACAGCAGAAAAATGTTCCACTAAGAATGTCCTGTTCTCAGCTTGTACTGGCACACTGTGGGAGAACTACGCACGACAAAACCGCGCACCACACGTCCTAATCAATCACGGGTCTCGATCATTTTCACAGTGCAGGTTGAAACTGCAGAGCTGTGATTTTACACGTTTTTGACTTGTGATTTGAATCTTTTTTTTTTTTTGTCTCCTGTGTTTTTCGGTGCAGGGCAACAGAGGACACAAGTCGACACGGAGCCACAAGGCTTCAGACATTGCAAAGCAGGTGAGCACGTGGAGACCAACATAAAATGTCCACTGACAAAAGCAAAAAATGTTGTTACAATTTCAACGTAGGTTATTTTGGTCATATTCTTACGTAGCAGAATACAGTGAAATGACAGGATTGAAGAGCAAAAGCATCAGAGCAGCTGTATTATGCAACCTTATGTCCCTATAATATTGCAAAATTGCCTGCATAATTTGTGTTTTTAATGCGAATTATATGTTAGGTATAATGCCTTGATTTAAACCCATTTGGCTTTGTGCTTCTCTTTCTCTGCCAGGCATTTATTGAAAAAAGCATTTTTAACCTAAAAGGGACTAACCAGGTTATTTAAAGTTTAAATAATAAAATGGAAAATGAAATGTAACATCTAGGACTTCAGTTTTGCTTAATGCTAGAGTTTTCAAGTAGAATGCTCTCAAAACACAGTACACAATCTGGGCATCATTCCTTATCTTTTATGAAACTCTAAGTGGAAGAGAGAAGATAAAACGATTAATGCTTAAACTGGTAGTCTCTGATTTAATGTATCAGTGGAGCAGAGGATACTTTCATTACACCATAAAAAACATAATCAAATTTGTGCATGAGTCTGTTTGTCCAGAAATACTGTCAATACTGAAGGGGAAAGATGCTGGATGTTAGCTTTGGAGCAACAATTATGTAGAAGTGTAAAAGAGATTTGTAAAAAGACTTTGTGGGAGTCAAGTTGTTGTGTGATAATTTATGATTTTTATTCTTCCATCCTAGAAACATTACATGTTTGACTCCTCATAAATCTGAACATTACATTGTAGTCATGATGGTTTTATGTGAATTGTGCTGTGAATGAGTTACTTTTTCTCAGTAAGTACAACTTTGGTTGTCTTCAGGCTTGAGATGCTGGAGTAGAAGTTAAAAGAATGATTCAGGACTTGTTTAGAGACAGGTTTGTCACAGTAGTGTCAAATTAATATGCATGGTCTCTGAAGGTGACTGAAAAAATAGCATGGTTGGCAAAAAAATACTTTTAACTGATACATGTGCCTGGGCTGAGTCAAATCCTGTTTGCAAATGCAGTATTTTATTATGTTTGTTTAGACTTACATGGACTAGATGGGTGGAGTTTACTGGTGCAATAGTGTAATGTCAATGTCAGGCCCTGAAAAGTTCACTGAGTTCACTGAAGAAGCTTGAAATCTGATATTCCTGTTAGTCTGGAGCCTTTCCTAAACGAGAACAAACCCCTTCTCTACATGACACCTTCTCATACATACAGTATTTTGTATGTAAACCCACAACATTTAACGCTTGTATTGAATGAAATATTCAACCTCCATCAAAACAACCATTATATCAAATGGAAAAATTCAGTATGTTTCTCAGTGTATACAATTTCTCCATAATTCATCTTGACATATTTAGTAAGTTTGGAAACATTAGGAGCTCTGCTGGAGTATAAAATAAAGTTCTGTGGATTTTAATGATCGGCTGCAGGATATGCTTTAGACTAATGAAGTGGGATGGAAAATGAAAAAAAAAATTAATTTTGTTGTGGTACAGTGTTTTGGCTGGCCTAGTCCTGTCTCATTTTCCTGCCATGTTCAGGGTTCAGATTTGACTCCACAGCTTCATTGCACTTTAGTTCTTCTGTCAGGTTCAGTGGGAATGGTATTAAAACTATTCAGGTCCTTTGCTGAAGAGAACCACCACAGTGTAAAACATGAAATTGCTGAAATCCTTTCTCCTTTTTTAAGTGCAGATGAATTAGCATTGACAATATTAAATCTCAAAATGAAGAAATGACTAAAGTTATATGACTAATACAAATCATATGCTTCATATCACTGTCTTTATTATTGTATTGCTTTATATAGCAAGCTGCTCAGACCCAAAAAACAAAATAACAGTCCATAAAAAACTCTTTGTAAATGCTTGTAGACTAAAATCTGTTTGGCTGTCTCTCTGTCCCTCTCTCTAGTGTGTTTCTCTTCCCTCTCCATTTCCTCGTTATTCTCCCTGCAGAGTTTTAGCTCATGTGTGACCTCTGCAGGTGTCACTCCAAATACAGCCTGGCTGACTCAGGATCTGGGATCAGCTTACGTTTACTTGCAAAACCTTCCATTCAAAATTAAATATTAGATTAAAATCAAATAAAGAGCAGCACTAATGTTTCTCAGCAGAATATTTACAGGTCCAAGTAAGATTTTAGACCTAAAAGTTTTGGATCGGTATGACAGCAGCTTTTTTGTGTTGTTTTATTTAAGGCTTGTAATTAAGTAATACATTTACAACAATGTTTAGTTAGATTTTATATATGTTTTATCCATTATCTATACCGCTTATCCTGAAGAGGGTTGCTGGAGCCAGTCTCAGCTGGCATTGGGCAAGAGGTGGGGTACACCCTGGACAGGTCACCAGTCTATCACAGGGTTGACACATAGAGAAACACACACACACACATACACACATTGCCATGGGCAATTTAGAGTCACCAGTCAACCTAAACCACATGTTTTTGGACTGTGGGAGACCAGAGTACCCGGAGTGAGCCCACAAAGGCACAGGGAGAACATGCAAACAGAAAGGCACAGAGTTGGCCAGGGCTCAAACCTGGAACCTTCTTGCTGTGAGGTGACAGCGCTAACCACTGCATCACCATGCAGCCTTAACTCAGCAGGAGTATAAATGCACTATAACTCCATTTTAGTGTCAAGTAGGAATTCTTTCTTTTAACATATGGCAGGGAGTTTCATTCTACATTTCTACAGGAAAACATTTATGTTCACAACATTAAAGTCTTTTTTTTTTGGTTAAAATTCTCTGGTAAAAAGAATCCAGACAAATCTGTTATTAATTAAAAGTCATTAAATTGATTGAAACAAATTAGAGTCAAATGGGTCATAGAAACAATTGAGTAAAACAAATTTGTACTTTGTATAGTAAATTAATTTTATGATTTTTGTTTAGTTTGTGTCTATTGGATTGAGAAGAAGGATAAAGTGGTTGGATTACCTCCCACCACATCCCTGCTTTTGGAAATACCCCTTCATTTGATAGAACCCATGTATTGGTGGTCCTGTAGGCTATGTCCCACTGATCAGGTGTTGTCCAGATGTGCTCAGGCTCTTACTAATCTTTTATTTGGAGGGAAGGTGTTATGGTTTAGTCCCCCTCACCAGGAGGGTGAGGGAGAACTGGGGTTGGACTCAAGATGGCTGACCCAGGTGCTAGTACAAAAAAGGAGGTTTAATGGAATAAAAACAACAATGTGACAACATAACAGGGTCCATAATACATACAACCAGGGAAGGGCTGTGATGACTACGGAGATCAGGGGCCTATTTCAAGAAGGCGGTTCAACAAACTCAGAGTTCAGACCTGAACTCTGAGTTGACTTACTCAGAGTTGGAAAACTCAGAGTTTTCGGTTTCAGAACAGCTGAAAAGAGTTGGTTTAATCAACTCTGAGTTGTCTGACTCAGAGTTAGGCGCGTGCCACGTGACTATAAAAAGCCCTGAACAATAGAGTGAAGAAATTACGAGGAGTCACCATGGCAACAGGACCAAGCCAAAATAGGTCTGCGTTTTTCCCCGACAGAAATGGATGTGCTACTACAAGCA